TTTTTTTTTTTTTTGTTTTTTTTTACAAATCAATCATTCCTTTTCGAAACGTTTCAAACCAATGATTTTTTTCCCCAGATCGTAAAATTATAAAGCTCAACTTTGACAAGATTATAACCTAATGACATGTTTAAAAAAATGTTGAAAAACAATAAGTGATTTTTGAAAAATCCTTTCAAACACTTGAATTTGTGATCCCTTCGTATATGATAATTTTTAAATCGATACAATATAAATGAGAGACAGACAGACAGACAGAGAGAGAGAGAAAGAGAGAGAGAGAGAGAGAGAGAGAGAGAGAGAGAGAGAGAGAGAGAGAGAGAGAGAGAGAGAGAGAGAGAGAGAGAGAGAGAGAGAGAGAGAGAGAGAGAGAGAGAGAGACAAGTTTGACTTCCGTAGTGTCCGGATGATAGTATGTAACATACTGGCATGGCAAGCTTCGATGTAAACAGTATCAACGAGCTTTCGAATGAGTATATACTATGGAGGGGGATGACGTAAGCAAGTCGAACTGTTCCGAATGACGTATAATTTAAACGAAGATTGAAAGCTAGAAGAGCTATGATGTGGTGGCTAATAAGTAAGAAATTAACAAAGAAATAAACCGACGATTATAAGACGACGTAAAAAGGATTTTAATGTCACGTTTGAATTAATATTTTTCTTATATTAGAATAGAAATATATATATATATATATATATATAATACATACATGCGTAAGTAGAAAAAGAATATCGATCGATCTTTTCGATCTAATATTAGACAAAACAAATAAACTTTCAATGGATCGTGAATTTGAAACGAACAATGAAAGAAAGCTCATTCGCATTTTACGATTACTCCATTTTAAATATGACGATCATCTGTTAAAAGCGTAATACTTTTGTAAGTTATGTTTTCAAATTCTAACGTGTAAAAAGGGTCTTTCTTTGATCGTTGACTTTATGATTTACGAGATAAAGATCATTATCCTAACGACACTACAAAAGAAAAAAAAACACACACACACACACACAAAAAAACAAAAAAAAAGAGAAAGGAAAAGAACCAAGATAATATGACGGACCTGATCATAAATAATTTGTTGGGAATGACAGCAATCTGACCCATCGAATTGCTAGTTATTCTCGATACCTATTGTTTCGACGTACAAAAAGGAAAAAGACGAATTATTATTATTATTATTTTACTACTACTATTATTACTATTATGCGCAAATAATGATGAAAATAATAAAGTAACAATTGTCTGATGTCCTCGATGATCAATGATATTGATCTAAACTCTATTGATCTAACACAGATCGAACGCGAATATCTTAAAAATGTTCTATTGTTCTAAATAAATGTAACACAAGATCGGGCCAAAATTAACATAGATAATATTTTTTTCAATCAATTATTATTCTTCCTCTCTCGAGACTTTTTAGGTTAACTTCTGTTTCGAATTGTAAAATTATGAGAAGTCTAAAAAAAGAAAAAAAAAAAGAGGAACTTTTGCTCTTCCAATTCTGTACGAAATAAATGTTAAATTTGCCAATAAAATTGTCTAATCTGACGTATTTCAGATACGTTATAAGAATATTTTTCTAACGCATTAACGTCGATCATAGATTATGTCATATATCTCGGTAACGTTAATGAAATTCGTGCTAATTAAATGAATTAGTACGTTTAACCTATATATATATATATATATATATATATATATATATATATATATATATCTTATCGTTATAGCTAAGGAAATATAATTATTCGATGGATTAACGATAAAACTAACGAATAAATAGTATTCGTTAAGAATATTTAGTAGGCGAAGTGTAATCGTGCAGAAAACTTCAAGCCGTTTTCTATTTTAGACGGGCGAGAACGATGTCCACAACCGAAGCTAAAATATATCCCTGTGTGGTTTCAAACTGGAGTGCACAAAATACAATGAAAAGGATTTCACGTCTGTCATTGCTGTTATTTACATTTAATTACGTATATTCACGACTTGTACGATATTATCATTTTTCTTTCTTTCTTTTTTTCAACATTTTGTTATTAAACAAATACGATTAATTCACGTATATCCAAATAATACGAACTATTTTACGATGATATATAATATAGAATATTACCTTCTAAATAAAAGAAAAAGCTTAGAGATAGATATGATCATAATCTAACAGAACGTTTTAATACTACACTATGGAAACTAAATGCAGTTTTCTAAAACTACCGACATTTATAAAAAAGATATCACGAAATTAAGGTATATATATATATATATATATGATTTCGTTGTTTACAGATGAAATATATTAAAACGTAAATTAAATATCTACGTAAAGGATTAAATTAAATTTGAGAATATTTTTGATAATAAGAGGTTAATGTTGTTAAAATCGTAATACGAATTTCTACGTGTGTGTACGTACGTATCTCGGGTGAATAAATAAGAATGTTGTTAAAAGCGTATCCGTCGTTCGACGATAGTTTTTTTTTTTTGTGATATTGTGTCTTTGACGTAACAACAATGTTTTCGAAGAATTTATTGAGAAGAGGAAGAAAAAGAGAGAGAGAGAGAGAGAGAGAGAGAGAGAGAGAGAGAGAGAGAGAGAGAGAGAGAGAGAGAAAGGTTTTAACGGTTATCAAAAAAATTAAATGAAAGAGGAAAAAACGTTGAATATATTATATGTAAGTAAAATGAAATCACTCGTAGATTCTTTTAGAGGTTATATTATATCTTTATCGTTAAGAATCGGCAAAAGAGACGACGATCGTACGAAGGGTGATGTTTTAATGACGTTTCAAAGAAAAGAAAAGAAAAAAAAAAAGAACACACCAAAGAAAGAACGTACACAGTACCTTTTCTCAATTTCATTTTCATTTTCATTTTTTTTTACATTTATCCGCGTCGACCATTATGGGTCGTCCGCAGTAGCAGCAGCAGCAGCAGCAGCAGCAGCAACAGCAGCAGCAGCTCGCAAACGAAGCCGTCGACGACGCAATCGACGTTACATTCTGTCGATGCATTTACGAAATACGTTCGTCGTCTGTGTTCTCTCGCGTGTAGTAGGATATATCATGAAATCGGAAGAGTCTATTAAGCCTCTAGTAAAAGACACACGACGCAACACACACATACACAAAGAGAGAGAGAGAGAGAGAGAGAGAGAGAGAGAGAGAGAGAGAGAGAGAGAGAGAGAGAGAGAGAGAGAGAGAGAGAGAGATAGAAAGAGAAAGAGAGAGAGAAAGAAAAAGAGAAAGAGAGAGAGAGAGAGAGACAGTGTGTATACTTTCGAACGGTATAGTCGTCCCAGACGCTTAATAACGCGACACCCAGTGGTCACGTTGATATTTTTCACGTCAAAAACTTTGAATGTACATACATACATATATATATATATATACATATATATATATATATTTGTTAAAAAGTAATTGTTAAATATCATACATAATCCGTTTTTGTTTGCTGGCACCCAACGCAGAAAGGCGGACCCTCGGGAGTCGAAGATATATACCAACGAGGAAGAAACTCTCTTCTTGTCGTCTCTTGTAGAATCTTCGATCGTAACTCGGCTTAGAGTAGTCCACGATAATCAACACTTCACCTTGCCACTTTATTATTCGATGTTATTCCCTGACGAATAATTTATTATTATTATTATTATTATTATTATTATTGTTATTATTGATTGACTGATTGATTATTATTATTATTATTATTATTATTATTATTATTATTATTTTATTGGTCGCACTTTCACGGCACATTTCGTGCTTGAGAAGATCGAACTTATTCGGCGAAACATTATATATTATTATATTTTTTTAAATGGGCGTTAAGAAGGATACTGCGTCTCGAAATGTTTCTCTAACGATCGTGTCCGTATCCGTAATCTCTCCTACCAAATCCCGCATATATATATATATATATATACACGTATATGTGTATGTATGTATGTATATATATATATATATATATGAATGCGTACGCGCTTTTCTCTACGAAGGCACTTACTTCTTTTCTCTCTATCTCTCTTTCTCTCTTTCTTTCTCTTTCTCTCTCTCTTTTTCTCTTTCTCTTTCTCTCTCTCTTTCTCTCTCTTTCTATATATATTTATTTTTTCTTTTTTTTTTCCTTTTAAAAACTTTAAATGCACATTGAATCGAACAAAAATACACTGGTGGCTAACAAGTGTCAGCCATCTTGTATCCAGCCGAAGCACAACCCAATTCTCCCACAGTGCACCGCGAGGCTGCCGAGTTCGTACTGACGGTCGAGTGAAGGGAATGGCCGCACTGAGATTGGTAGGTGGGATCGATCGTAAGCTCTGATTGGTCAATGACGACGCAACTGCTTTGCGCGCCTATCGTTCTATCTTTTACTCTCTCTATGTCATTATATATATATATATATATATATATCTCTTTCTCTCTCACTCGCTCGCTCGCTCACTCGCTCCTTATCTTTTTTCCTATATATATGTATAATGTAGTTTCTGCTTTTACTATGTAATAATCAGTTATCACGCCAGAGGGCGCAAATCTATGAAAATTATCCAATAGTTTCTCCAATCGTAAAATAACGCTTAAAGAATGATTTAATCTTTTATTGGTCGAATCGTAATATATAATTTCTTCGTGAAATTTTCTATTCTATATACTATACAATATTATATCGAATAGGTTAATATATTCATAGTATAAACGTAGGATACATTTATGATCTTGTCAAAAGTGATATTAAATGACGATTGGAAGAAGAATTATTATGAAAGTTAGTGCTGTTACGTGTAAATATTAATTTTAATGAAAATACCAAAAATATTTATTATACATTATTTTCGTTCTGGTGTGTCATACATTACAATCTTTTTTCTTTTTTTTTTTTTTTCGTGCACGTAGAAAATATAACGTTAGGTTTAATTCGATATACAATGGATATATATATATATATATATAGAGAGAGAGAGAGAGATAGTGTAAATAAATAACGAGAAATATTATAATCACAGAGTGCACTTATTATTACATTATATCAACGACGTATAAAACTATAACTACGATATATATTAAACTAATGGACGGTTTTATTTTTATATCTCCGTTATTTAAAAATGGATAAAAGAAGTCGTAGGGTAATGTCAGATCTAAATTTGGACCACCTGCGAAATAATATCGGGATGGCTTAGATATATCATGAAAGTTTACAAAACTGGTAATGTCGATTTGAAGTACGTCTGTACAATTTTTGTTTATACATTTTGACCAAAATAAATCTCTCTCGTCGGAAAATGTAATACCTATCCCTAATATATCATAATTCGTTAAACTTTCTGGTTTAGATAATACGGAATATAATATATCATATTTTATAGAGGTTATTAATCCTGAACATTTAATCCAACCATTAAGAATTTGACCTGTTATTACGTGCTGAGGTAATCTATCAATTAAGATTTTTATCCATGCAGAAGTATCGTTATTTGTAAAATTACCTAACTTTGATATATATATTGGATATCGATCGGCTTGTGTTACATTAATCAAAGTATCTTCGATTAAGATACTTAATGTTTTGTTATACAATTCTATACAAGTTGTTGTTGTAAAATTAATCGTATTTAATGTCAGAGAACATTTCAATTTGATGTCTTCTCCGAAGGCTACGATATGTCTATTAATTTGACTACATTCACGATTTTGTTCTCCTAATGGCAATGTTAAAAAACTTTTACTTTTGTTAAAATTAATATAATGAAATTCTATATTATTACTTTTATTTGTCATTATGGTACCAATGATTAATGGTTTTCCACGAATATAACCAGGATTACCACTACGTTCAAATATTGTTTTTTCATTCTGATCGTTCCATTCGTAACTTACCTCGAAGGATTGATAGAATTGTTGAGAAATATTAACCATTAAAAAATGTATATCAATTGAATCTATACCTGCAGTACCGTTATGGCTTATTACATATTTTACTCCTTTAATAATATTTTGACAAATTCCCTTTGTGCAAGAACCCAATATTTCTTTGCCATTACAAGTATTCCAAGAATTCTTACAATAATGATTGATCGGAGATAAACATATGTTCTTTGGACAGCTCTAAAAAAAATAAAAAGAAAAAATAAAAATAAAAAAAATCTTGTTAACTTAGAAAATTTATATAAATCATATTGCATACTTGATCAGACAAAAGAATGTAAGTTTGATTAAACAAATCCAAAGATTTAATAATCGTAAAATTATTATACGTTGAAGGAAACAAGAATGGGTTTGTATCGGCTAATTCAACTTGCATACAAGAATCTTTCCATTTATGGAGATATCTAATTGTTTTTTTAAACGAACATTTTCCTGTAAAGCCCGTTTGTAGTAATTCTGAAATAATAAAAAGAAGCAAAAAAAAAAAATAGAAAAAAGAATATAATTATAAACCTAAGTTTATATCCGTTAAATTATTTATAATAGTTTATAATATTACCTAAAGGTTTTATATAATTATTTTGTAATTTCCATACAAGATCACCTTCTTTATAAATACTAGTGATATTATACGTGAACATACTTTGGTGATATTCAAATTTCCATTTTGGTTTGTCTTTGTTTATCTCTTTCCATAAATCTTTTTGATTATTAATGGCCTTTGACAAAAAGATATATTAATTAAACGATGATTTGTATAATAAAATAATTTTAGTTTTTATGAAATAATAATAAACTTACTAAGTTATTATTAATACTGTATACAGGTGGAAGATTGTCGTAAAGAATGCAGAACAAATTATTAGCTAATTTTTCCAGAATAAAAGGAGTATTATTTCTCTCAATAAAGTTTCTACTGTAACAGTAACGACTATCATACAATTCTGTATGATAATCTTTACAATGAGTGAATACTTTTAAATGATGATCTTTGCAGTCCATATCACAGCAACAATTGATGTCACACGATGCCACCTGTTTATATTTAAATAAAATAATAAATTATTTCTTTTCAATATAGCGCTTTAAATGTAAAATAAATATTAAAAGTATATTATAATTACAGTTAAATCGCATTCACATATGTCCGATTGTTTTTTGTATATACTATCATTTTCCATTTCTGGATTAAATTTATGCATTACAATTGATGGCGTAATAGTCGTTATATCAGGTTGTTGATTTTGAGTTGTATTAATTAAATTAATACTTGATGTAGAAGATTCAGAAAAATTTGTAATGATGACATTTTGAGAATTGTTTGATGAAAGACCATCTTCATCGTATGTCTCCGTATAATTATCAGTATCCGCAAATTCATCGCATTCTATTCCCTTCAAACACGTTATTATATCCTCTATTCTTTCTGGAGAGACTAATTTGTTAAATAAAAAAATGAAGTGCAGTAATAGAAATATTCTTAGCATTTTTTTTTCTTTTCTCTTTTTTTTATATTATAAAAGTTCTTATATATTTGATGAGATCATATAGCTATCTCTCTGCAATATTTAATATGTCTTCATAAATGACATCCAAATTTGTCAAAATTTCTGACAAGTATATGCAGATCGATTTGTACAGTACCCATACTTTCCGTAAGTAACTCAAATCTATCTATCGTGTTAACTAAAACATTTGGAGATTTCAATTGTAAAACCACTCCTAAAAATTTATCTCTGAGTCTATCTTTCCAATCACCTATATCAATGGAAAAAAATATATACAAATAAAAAATATTTACATTGTATCTTTTTAGAAAATATTATACTAACCAATTGGTTTCCATGTATGGCAATTCAAACAATGAGATCCAGGAGATAAGGGTATATTACAAACACCGTAAGAATTGAATAATATCCTACCATAATTATCTCTAGAAAATATTTGTAGAAGTAATTTTGGAGAATTATGTAATGTTTGCGTAGTATAATGTATATCGACAGGATGATCCCAAATTGGTTCATTGGTATATACATCACAACATTCTTGGGTTTGTCCTTCTTCACTTCCTTCTATAATTTTCCAACCATTTCCTATTACATTGTCAAAATAATTTCATTAAAAATGACAATTATTTTATTATATTTATAGTAAATTATTAAATAGAGAAAAAAGTGATTACAGGTAAATCATTATTCTTTACCAGCATGAAAACTCCATTTACAGAAAAGCTGAGATTCTTTGAAATTTTTCGCTAAAGCAATTTTACCGATAATATGCAACTCGGCCATATCACAAAATCATGTCTTTGCTTTGAAATTTGTAACTAGGCATAAAAAATCAATTATTTAATTATAATAATACGTGACGCATTATTTCAAAAAAAAAAAAAAAAAAGAAGTATATCTATATTTATATTACAAATTAAGTTTTACTTTACAAAAATTCAATATTTTTTTTCATCCTACGTTATTTAAATATAAAATATATGCGAATTTGTTCTCATTAAAATAATGCGTACATACAAGAAGAAATGTATCGACGAAAATGGAAGACATCTGAAACATAAACAAACTGCAACGATGCAACACTACCAATATCGAAATTTCATAAGAGCTAGTATTTGCCGCGTATGTATAATCTTAATTCTGATTGGTTGAATTAAGAAACATAAAAATGCTTTCATATGATTGGCTCGTATCACGTGACGCTAACGCCATCTACCAAAAGATGAATCGTATACTGTAACTAAACGTAGTATACAAAAATCTAGCCTGAGCTGATTTGTATTTATATAAATAAAAGTGTTTTTACAAACAAATATTAATTAACAATCGTATTATAATGAGTACTAACGTAAGACATGTATTGTACAAGAAGGTATTTTGTATAAATGTTAAAAACATTCAAACGTTAGGATACCGACTTTTGAAAGAATAAAAAAAATATTTATAAAATTGTATTAATTTCTAGATTACAAAATTTACAGAAAATGTAGAGGATGCAAGTAATATAATTTCTTATTTAAAGATGAAGCCAAGACAATCGGGAGTATTTTCTTTTATACTTCCTTTACAAACGAAACAATATGATTTAAGAAATAACATAAAAACTATATTAAATTCTGACATAAAATCAGATTTAAATGATATTACTGTTGAAGAGAACGCATTATCTTTTAATGTATTTAGAGAAGATTACATTAAGCAATTCCTTGAAAGAAACTGTCATAAAATTGTACCTCATATACTTATCAATAACAATAAAAATGTAATAGTCGAATTTAGTTCACCAAATATTGCAAAACCATTTCATTTAGGACATTTACGTTCGACAATTATAGGAAATTATGTAGCCAATATAAATAGTTATTTGGGAAATAATGTCAGAAGGATAAATTATTTGGGTGATTGGGGTACTCAATATGGCTTCATTCAGATTGGCATTGATATGTCTAATCTTGACAGTAAGAAAATTGAAAGTGACGCTATCAAAAGTTTGTATAATGCTTACGTACTTGCCAATAAATCAATGGAAAATGATTCTAGTATTGGAAATAAGGCTAGAGAAATCTTTAGACAATTAGAAACTGGAGAAAGTATTGCGTGTCAAGAATGGGAGCTATTTAGAAAATATACAACAGAGGAATTAAAAAAAACTTATGATAGAATAGGTATTACTTTTGATGAATATCATTGGGAATCTATGTATAGATCGGTGAATATAAAGGAAATAATTTCATTAATGGAAAATATGAATTTATTGTCATATGATGAAGAAAATAGAAGAGTGATACATTTAAATTCAGAAAAAGTCATACCTATTATTAAAAGTGATGGAACATCACTCTATTTAACGAGAGATGTGGGAGCAGCTATTGACAGGTATAAAAAGTATAAATTTGATTTGATGTATTATGTAGTTGACCAAACGCAAAGTAAACATTTTACAAGTCTAATAGAAATATTACATAAAATGAACATGTCTTGGGCAGAGAGATTAAATCATATAAGGTATGGACGAATACTTGGTATGAGTACTAGAAAAGGTACAGCTATATTTTTAGAAGATATTTTAAATGAAATAAGAGATGTTATGAGAGAAAAACAAATTCAATCTCCCAGTAAGTTATTCTTATATTATTTGTTATATTAAATAAAGAGCTTCATTATTTAAAAGAAAATTATAAAATCTCATTTATATATTTTAGCAACTAAGGTTTCTTTGGACATGTCTGATAATAGTTCCGACATATTAGGAATTTCTTCTGTGATAATTAATGATTTGAGACGAAGGAGAGAGCGAGATTATAAATTCGATTGGAATGCAGCATTTGACGTGAGATTTTTATTTTTTTTTTTTTTTATTTTCTTTTTATATAATTTTTGATCTCATTAAAGCGGTTTTGTAATAATTTATAAGAATATATTTATGTTTTAATATCAGATGGAAGGAGATACTGGTACAAGCCTGCAATATGTACATTGTCGTCTTTTTAATTTAGAAGAAAATTCTGGTGCTACTCTTCCAACTGAATGTTATCCATCAGTTTTGAAAGAGCCAATAGTCGACGACTTGATATGTATAATTAGTAACTTTGAAAATACTGTTTTAAGATCTTATCAAGATTTAGAACCAAACATTTTAGTTACATATCTTTTTCGATTGAGGTTAGTCCATACAACATAATAATTATAATAATGCTTCGTAACAATGTATTTATAAATATTTATTTTATTCAGCCACACTATCAACAAAGCTTTAAAAATATTGAAAGTTAAAGGTGAAACAGCAGACATTAGCGATCAAAGATTACTCATGTTCCACGTGGCAAGAAATGTCCTTGCACAAGGGATGAAATTGCTTGGTATAACACCTTTACAAAAAATGTAATATAGCTTAATACTTAAAGTATCAAACATATTAAATGTCATGAAAAGAGATTGGAAGTTTTTTTTTCCTAACATTTATAAATATCCTGATGAATATATTTATATGGCTAATAGTTCTATCCAATGAAACGAATAAAATATGTGTAATATTTGGCAAGAATTATGTTTAAGGTAAAGAAATTTATTTTTAAATCTATCATTCTATATGTGTGAGATATAATTACATTTTTTTTTTTTTTTTTTTTTTTAATTTAGACAAAAGAAATATATTTCCAAGATTAACGTTTTTTCCATGTAAATTTTCTTCTTGCTCCTTCTTGGCCAAACTTTTTTCTTTCGCGTCTCCTCCAATCTCTCGTTAACAATCCAGCTAAGAAATTTGAAAATTATTTAATATCGCGTATATCAAATTATAATATGTAAATGTGATAAACGTTCATTTTTATTCTTACCAATTTTCATATTTTCTATAACCTCAGGAGTAACGAAACTTCGGAGACCCCATGCAATGCCCCACCTTATCGCGCCTGATTGTCCAGTAGGTCCTCCATTTTCAACAGTGGCTTCGATGTCAACTTTCTCAACCATATTCGTAAAAATTAATGGAAATATTATCTGCAAAGTATATAATTAATTTTCTTTAAAAATATATTGTAACTTTGAATTAATGAGATAAGGTATGGTACAAGAAAAAATCTATTATCTGAAGAAAATCAAATCTTAAATATATATATATATATACACACACACATACACACACACACACACATATATATATATATATATAGCTACTAACATTTATACCTAACCGTTATAATACTTGTTCGCAAGAAACGTCATCATTACAGATTATACGAAGATTTTCCTGGCGAAAAAAATGAAAAATTAAATCTTCATCAATGTATATTCTATAAAATCAATCATCTTGAGATTGGTCCCTTATATATCAGTCTTTATAATACGTTAAGTGAGTTTTTTGTTTTGTTTTGTTTGTTTGTTTGTTTCTTTTCTATTGATAAAAGGCAAATAGGTGTGACAATAATCCATATATATATATATATATATAATTTATATATATCCATTTATATAGATGTAATTGTGTGTTCATGTTCACGTACACTTTGCCCAACTCATATACTCTTGTCCTTCGCCAAACGATTAACAATATCCTCCAATATGTCATTCATATGTAACAATTGTGTTTTAAGAGACTTTATTGTTTCTTCATTTGCATTCAATCTTGCTGATAATTCTTCGACGGCCAATCTCAAGCCAGACTCGGATGATTCTTCACTTTGTTGCTTCATCCAAGTTACATGGTCGCTAAGACTAATATTGTCATCATTGATATATGGCATGTTCTTTTGTGCAATCTCATAAGCAGCTTTTAAAATATCCTTAGGCAATCGTTTCTCCAAAGGATTTAATGGTTTAACAACGAGGACGTGTTTACGATTTTCAACGTCTATTTTATGATCAGTCATCCATTTTCGAAAGGTATATGGTATGGAAGCATTATGCAGTACCATTTCAGTGAAAAGAATTAATTTAGTTTGACGTACCAGCTTGGTAAGTCCTGCATGATTTCTTAAACCATTAATATCATGTACGGCGATGCCAACTAATAAGTTCATTAATATCACCGTTACAAAAACGATGAAGAGAGTGAAGAGAATTTGTGAACAGACAGATAATGGATGATAAATCACGAAAGGACCGTCGGCAACTTGATCCGCTTGATTAATAAGACCCTCAAAGTCCAATTCGCCAGCCATCATTGCTAACACCTTGATAAGTCCGGTAAAAGGATTACCAAAGGCTGGTTCACCAACGAAAATAACGCAAAAGCTAATGGTGAATCCTATCAATAATCCAGAATAAGCCAATAAAAGTTTAGCAAATTCAAATTGTATATGTGTGAACATGGCAACGTAAGTTCCAAAAGCAGGCAATTGTCCAACCATCAGCATAAGATTTGTCCAGGCGCAAAGTATGGCGAATGCACCGACATAATTTTGCCAATCGTATGTCTTTCCTGTGTAAACAAATGACGTTACGAAAACGCTTACTATAACTATACCATCGAGGACATTATCTATGTTCGAGAAATATTGTTTCACCGATTTGTAAACCATAAAACCAAATATCTTTCTGGGTATTGTGACGCAGGTTAATACGAGACAGAGATACCATTCAATTTCGATAACTGGCCTTCTGAATAGAAAGCCTGAAATTCTTTTGCTGTTGCAAATTTTTGAGCTTGGAAAATCATCGTGATTGTAACATTTGTATGCAAGTGCCGTTAGAACATAAGTAGTCATACAGATCACCGTCATAGCATAAAGGAAGATTCTCATCAAATAAAACTTTCTTATCTTCTCCCATTTGAGATGAAGAAAAGCCATGACCAATGGATGAGATAGCAGATCTTTTCGACGTTCTTGTACGAAAGTATTGATGAAACTGGTTTCGCATTGATTGTTGCTAGGAAATAGTAGGTCAAAGTGTAATCTCATTTCGAATTCTCTGTTATGTGGTACAGGCCGTCTAAGCCTGATAGAGGCATCGAGTCTTTCCCGAAAGACTTCCAAAGATTCTGGTATTTTTCTTAATATGATGTTTAAAGCTGATAAGCCTGCACTTGTTGTAGCACTGACGTCAGCTCCGGCCCAAATCAAAGTATCCACGCAATGGGACTGTTCGTTCAAAGCAGCTATATGAAGAGGTGTGAAGCCCGTTCGATCTGCCGCATTGACTAAGGCACCATGCTTTAATAAAAGTTCAACCAACACTGCCGAAGAATCTGTACTCATAACGGCAAAATGTAATGGGGTCCTATGCGTACGATCTACAGCATTAATGTTACTACCTGGTACAGTTAGCAATAATTCGACACAGGGTATTGATTGGACGAAACAAGCAACATGAAGGGGTGTCTCTCCAAGATGATTCTTTTCGACAACGCTAGCGCCCCGTTCCAAGAGTACCTTCACCACATCTAACGCATTTGCTCGAATGGCACAGTGAAGTACCGGTTCGACTATTTCCTCATAAGCACAAGTATTCAACTTGGCGCCGCTGTCCAAAAGTAGAACGGTCGTTTCTCTCGATTTTCCTGAAGCCGCAAAGTGAAGGGACGTGTAATGATTCGTTGGATTTTCACAATTAACATCGACACCTTTTCTTATAAGATGTTCCAAACATGACACATTTCCACTCAAGGATGCTGTTAGAATAGCATTCATACCAGTGCACGGTTCGATATAATTAATATCGGCTCCCAATTCTTCGAGTTTAGGTAAAAGATGAGATAGGCCACGATGACATGCCCAAATATAAGAAAGATTCTTCAAATGTTCATTCAATGAGATTTCCGATGGCACGATACAATTCTTTTCCATTTCCAATAATAATTTGATCTCGGTAACATTGAGCATAGACCAGAAGACTGACCTTATATTGCTACCGTCTACTCGTAACGCATTTCTCAGTGCTTCAAAATTATCGAAGAAAAGAGATTCATCGACTGGTGGTGGATCGCCCGCGTCGATCTCTTCGTGTTTATTCGTTGAATTAGCTGTTAAGTCCTTTTCGACTACAACTATCTGTTCAGGACAATAATCGTTAACGTGTCCATATCTTGCTGACCTATAAGTTGAAGCCAATCTCACGGATAATGGATCTCCACCGTTGGGACGATCGTTCAAGCAAGACATAGAATAAAGTCTTCGTCTTCCTTCGTTGTTGTTGTTATTATTATTGTTATTATTATTGCTGTTATTGTTGTTGTTGTTTATCGAACTTGGTGGCTTTAGACTATCCATCTTCGTTTCTTCGATTTCACCAAAACGTTAATAATGTAAATTTTTTTTTCCTAAAAATTCTATTCTCAGGTTCTACCTAAAAATTGTATCCTTAGCTTCTTCAAAGACGTGAGAAGAAGGATAAGCTATCGACGTGAACGTAACTCAGGCCACTACGTACTTATCTTTCGTTTTGATCTCCACTACGGAACATCTCAATCATTTCTCTCTATGTCTCTCTCTTTCCCTCTTTTTTTCTCTCTCTCTCTCTCTCTCACTCTCTCTTTCTCTCTCTGTCTCTCGTTTTCTTCGTCTATCCACGTCACGTCCCAAAGTCGTTTAAGATCGTTTTAACGAGAACGCTCTCGTCATTGCACTACACGCGACTACCGGTGTCGCTCGGCCGAGTGACTTATATCGTATCTGCGTTATAAGCATTGCGATGGTAGAGAGAGAGAGGAGGAGAAGGATTGCCAGAGAGTGAGGAGAGAGTGCGTATATATATATATGTGTGTGTGTGTGTGTGTGTGAGAGAGGGAGAAAGAGATATATATGCGTTCTATATATAGAACTTAGGACGTTATCGCTTGGATTCAGCAACTGCAGGACTCAGCGACCCCATGTGTTTTTGGCCGTGAACTTCACGAGCTTTTAACACTAACGGGACAGGGTCATATATGATCAGCTAGCGTACAGTATCCACCAGAGACGATTGCTTCCTTACTTTCTCTTCTTGAACCTTTGTAATGAAAATTTATTCACCTTCGATGTCATTCGCAATGAGATAAAATCGTTTTAAAGGATGATCATCTTCGTACGATCATCGAACACGTACGTTTTGTTACATTGGAATATATTAATTTCTAACAAGATTCAATATATTTTTTAAATATTCTTTTTAATGACCGTAATAAATAATTTTTCTTCGTGCCAAATGTCAATCGAAATTTTTAATGAATTTATAAAGAATGACTTTCTCTCGTTTAAAAGCTTCGACGAAAGTCCATCACTTTCTCTTTATTGGTACGCTGCCAAAAGATACCTGTTCTTTCTTATTTATTTATTTATTTATTTATTTTAGTGTTATTCTTTTCTTATTTTTATTTCTTTCTTCTCTTTTGTTCGTTTATGACCATCGTATATCTCGAGGAATAATTTTCTACGACCTTTCGAAATGACCTTTTTCCTTCGTTCGTTAAGTAATAAGAAAAAATTATTCTGACAGTGTATATATTACGATCTCATACAAAATATAAATTTCCATATATACCATCTGGCGAAACAAAATTAAAAAAAAAAAAAAAAAAAAAGAAAAAAAAAAATTAAACGAATTAGACTCATATACTTGACTTTCTTCCAAATCGAATTTTCGATAAGAATCATGTTAACAACGATATCATAATAACAGCCATTATCTATGAGATTATCTGTGATAGAATTTTTTTTTCTTTTCTTTTCCTGTTCCGCTTTTTCTTTTGTTTTTGTTTTTTTTCGTTCTACATCATTTTTAAAAAAAATTGATTATCGAATGAGTTAAATGAATGCTTCGATAGAATACATTCGAAGGAAAATATTGATAATTAATTAGACGACAATAAAGTTAGTGTATTTTATGGATACAACGATGGACTGATCGTCGCAGTTAACAAACTTTAATATTTATAATTATATATATATATATATATATATATAAATGAACCCAGTTGAAAATGTATTCACGTATCACCCATCGTGATTTTCGATAGAGATCTCTCTGCCCGGAGGCTAACTTGCCACGTAGAGAGCACGACCGGTTCGTACGATTGCTTGGCGGATACTACTCCTTAAGAATTTGTTGCTTGACGACAAAATACACGGAGAAAAAGAGAAAAAGGAAAAAAGATAAAAAAAAGAAAAAAGAGAAGGAAAAAAAAAGTAGTAATGCAAGAATTCATACGGTGGGAGAAGCGAAATAAATAAATATAAAAAAAGAAGAAGAAGAATATAATCGATTATGAAGGATAGAGAATTTTCTTTTACGATAAAAAGAAATGAGATGATTTTTTCTTTTTCTCTTTTCTTTTTTCTATTAATAAATACAAAGAAAAAGAATTTTTCTTTTTTTTCTTTTTCTTTTTTTCTTTTTTTTTTTTTTTTTTTGATACAAAGAGGAAAATTTTTTGTTGCTGTGATAAAAGCGAGGATTTTTTTTCTTCTTCTTTTAAAACAAATATAAAGGAGTTTTTTCTTTTTTTCTTTTTTTTTTTTTTTCCATGATAAAAATGAATTCCTTCCTTTTTTCTCATTCAAAATAATAATGACGATAATAGTATGTATATACTGTGATCAGTCAAGTTATATGAAAGATTAATATTACAGTACTCCTCCTTGAGATATTCATTGTCTGTACAAATATTGTTCAAGTAATCGAATCTTTTTACTTATATCGATATTTATTCATAAGTTGAGTGGTATCTTCTCTCTGAAATACGTTCCATAGTTCTATCATAATTGTTCGGACGACGAAGAAAATCCTCATAAATAAATTATCGTCTTAATTCTTGTTCCTTCATAGTTTTACTATATATATATATATATATATATATATATATATATATATATATATATATACACATATGTATAATGATGTACATTGTGCACGCATACTTTTAATTATACATATTTTCATTATCATCATTGTCTTATCTCTTTACATTCTTTTCCTTCTTCTTCTTCTTTTTTTTTTTTTTGATTATTATAAAATATATGAAAAATCTGTTTAATTGAAACATTCTATTTGTTAAAGAAAGTTCTTGACGATTGGCTTTTAACTCTTGCAAGTATGTGTACAGAACAGATTGAAAGTTTTTAAATGATATTAAAAATCAATTATTCCTTTTCGAGACTTTTTTTTAAGCAAATTTATTTTTTTTTGTCAGATTGTAAAAATATAGGTCATTTTATAAGCTTGAATAAGTCTCGAAATGAAGTAATTATCTCTCCCTCTCTCTCTTTATTCTTTCATAAATTTCTATTTCGCTCTTGGCTAATACCTTTCACCAACAGTACGATGATTTTTATGGTTTTGGGGTGTGTCGTTATTATACTAAAATATTTTCTACGATTATGATGATGAATATTCGATTCGAACAAAATCATTCACACACACACACACACACACACACATACACACACACGTGCGCACACGATTTATATATAATACAAAATTCACCATAAAAAGAAGTTCAGAAAGTCTTTTTGCGATTAGGTTAATAAATCAATTGATAATTGACAATTGATATTTTGAAATGTTAACTCACTATCATCATCATCATCATCATTATCTTGAAATGTCATACTTGTATTTTCAAATATCTACAAAATTCAATGTCCTTGTAATAGACGCGTATTACGAAGCTAAATTATTACACAACATGGCGCCTATCCATTCATTTTATGAAATAAATCCGAAAGTTGTGCGAGTGAACAGGTTTTTGGAATTTTAAATTTTACTTATATATCCTTTCTAAGTATACCTGTTCTGTATATCAGAACACGTTTCTATTTTATCTTTTGAACACCCACGCTCACTGGCATACGAGATTAAAACATAATAATATCGTGCTAAATCTATTTCTCAATGTCTCTGTCTAATTTTTTTTTTTTTTTGTTATTGAAGGGAAAAATAGAAGGATAGACACGTAGGATATGCGAAGGATTATAAAGTGGCTGACTAAACATGTCGATGTTTTGAATCGTAAAACAAAAAAAAAAAAAAAAAAAAAAAAAAAAAAAAACAAAAGGAAAAGAAAAAAAAAGAGAGAAAAAAAAACTGTAAAGAAAAAAGAAATAAAAGTAATAACGAATGAACGAACGGTTAAATACAAGTGTTTGGAAAGAAGAAATGCTATTAAAATTTTTGGAGATAAAAAAAAAAAAAAGAAGAAGAAAATAAAAGAAGAAGTACGTTTACAAAGATCGAAATGTTAAATAAAAAGTCTGCATTGATCATTGGGAATAATAAATGAAATTAACATTTTTTTTTAATAAGACCTATCTTACTTTATAAAGTCAAGTGGGGGAAAAAAAAGAATACACACACACACACACAGACACATTATTTTAAATTGATGTTAAATTATATAAAATTAACAATACGCGTATTAAGTGCCCTTCAACCCATAACATATAACGATATATCGTTAAGTCAATTAACATATTGTCATATACGTATATTTAACATATTATATTGAAGGTACTTCCGGTAGATTACAAATCATGTTAAGATTCATACATTCTGTAGATCATTTATAGATAAATAATGTAAAATGCATGGATACTTTTTTAATGTTAAAATGATTATGATCATGTGTTGTCATGGTGTCATCTTATATAATTAAACCTGATTGAAAAAACGATATAGGCATTGTTAGATAATTTAAAAAGTTGTATTAATACCTTCGACAGTACCATTACGTCAGTAATTAAAAAAAAAAAAAAAAAAAAAAAAAAAAAAAAAAAAAAAAAAAAAAAAAAAAAAAAAAACTCCAAATATAATATCAGCTTTGATATATTTGATTGTACTTTCTACGGATCGAAAGTTCTTAACTGATATTTGTTTTTTTTTTTTTTTTCCCCCTTCAAATCGAAAACTGAAACAAGAAACGTAACTCTATAGAATAAATTATAAATTCAAATTAAAACATTAAAATGTCTTCGAAAATGGTTATAATTGATTTTTTAATATTTCTCGAGGTAAAGAAATTTTGGACCATCTAGAAACTTTTGTTACACATTGTACAAAACAGAGTTATTAGAAGATCAAGAAGAATGTATGTTCATAGATACGTGTACAAAGATAGAGATACATAGGATACATATGTGACGATTACCTTAACAAGATAATTTAAGATTATTTCCCTGTAAAAAGACGTTGACGATGATTGTCTCAATATAATTGTTCATTCAACGTAGTTTGCCTTGTTGTGACGAATAAAACGTTTGTTTTAAAACGTTACTATTATACAATGCGATCTTAACAAAATTCTTCCTTCAAATCTTTCTTTTTTTTTT